TGTGGCAGAAAACTTGATAAAATTGCATTAGATCTCAAAGGGTGAAAAGCGACTTGTTCTGGAAAACATTTCATTGAATGAATTTTTTTGCAGAATACCAGAAAGTAAAAACCAAGCCATAAAAAACAAGCTGGTTTTTTTTTTTTTTTTTTTTTTTTTCTTTTTTTTAATCTTAATGCTTCCTGGAGCAAAAAGTTAATGACTGAGGTCATTAGTTAGCACAAAGCTAACCTACCTATCAAATATTTTAGGCTATGCACAAAGAGGAATTGGTGAGGAGGCATTGAAGTTGAGTTCTGAAATGATTAAGATGGGTATGCAGCCAGATAACTTCACCCTTATATCTGTTTTAAGTGCCTGTTCTGGTCTTGCCTCACTTAAAGAAGGCATGCAAATCCATGTGCTAGTTATAAAATATGGGTTTGAATCAGATATATCTATCTGCAATTCCTTAATTACCATGTATAGCAAATGTGGTTGCATCCTTGATTCTGAGTTAGCTTTTAGACAAATTCGCAAAGCAAATCTCATTTCATGGAATACAATTATTGCTGCGCTTGCACAGCATGGTCTCTATAGAAAAGCTATTGCTTTTTCCAAAGAGATGGAATTCAATTGTATCAAACCTGATGGGATAACTTTTCTTAGTTTGCTATCTGCTTGTGGCCATGCTGGGAAGGTGAATGAAAGCACAAATCTTTTTGACTTAATGGTAAAAGCTTATGAAATTGCCCCTAGATCTGTACACTATTCTTGCTTGATTGATATATTGTGTCGAGCGGGTCAATTGGACAAGGCATGCAAGTTAATCCAAGAGATGCCTTTTGATGCTGATGCAGGAGTCTGGGGTGCTCTTCTTGCTGCTTGCAATGTTTATTTGAATATAGAATTAGGAGAACTAGCAGCAAAGAAAATTGTGGATTTGAACCCACAGAATTCTGGAGCTTATGTCATGTTGTCCAACATGTATGCTAGAGCAGGAATGTGGGATGAAGTAATAAGAGTGAGGGTTCTCATGAAAGACCAAGGGGTGAAAAAGCAGCGTGGATATAGTTGGTTGGAGATTGGTGATAAGATGCACCTTTTCTTGGGAGGGGATATATCTCATCCAGACACTCCTAGGATTCATTTAGAGCTTAAGAGAATTAGTTTACAAATGAAAGCAATTGATGATATTGCAGAAACTGTTTTGTTATGGAGCTGTTTTGGTTAACAAATGTTCTTCTGTCCCAGTTGGAGTTTTTGAAAATCTGGAGCATATTAGCTATATGTATGCAAGGGAAAATAGGGAGTCCTCATTGGTATTAGAAAAAACCATGTTATGATATCTGACAAGTCACAGAATTTTTGGTAGAAGTAGACTGATGATTTGTAGGTGGCAGATTGGTATATGAGGCAGAATCCAAGTTTGTAGAATAGAAACCCTTCCATGCTGGGTTCACAAGTTTGTTCATATTAGTTAAGATTTCCAGTCTTGAAGACTTTCCATGAGCAGAGGAGTCATGATACATGAGGCTGAAGGTTTTTTGAACCGTTAAACTGTGAAGTGACAAAGTGGAAATATGTGACATGACAAGATGAAGTTATTTATACATCTGCATTGAGAAAAGTATGAATTTGAAAGATCAATAGTATAGGATGAATTTATTTGAAGATGAAGCCACGTGTAGAACTTGATGAGAAAAATACATCGTAGGCTTGTGGAGTGGGATTATATCACATGAATTCCTTACATTCTGGTCTTGGATGGTTTTCATCATGTACTAAGTGCTATTAATATTTATATGAAATTTTATGATTTAGTTTTTGTAAAATAATGCAGGACTGATTGTGCATACACCATAATATAATTCTCTTCCCCAAATGTATCCTTGTCTGCTACCTTTGACATCTTTATTGCAAGTAGGAATGCACGATCATCCTTGTAGTTTTATCTATCTTCAAATTGCATTTCACCTTAAAATATACTCCTAGGGTTTCATATTTAGTTACTCAAATCTTCTTGTTAATTATAACAGAAGGAGATCTAATTGTTTCTGTTTTTGGTTGGAAAGAAAGGCGTTGAAGAGATTGTTTTTGTATCTTGCTTGGTAGAGTGGTCGGAATTCATCAAAAGAAGAAAAATAGATTTTATTATTATTTTTTTGTGTACTTCCAATGATAGATTATACAATAGGTAATAATTCAATCATTTTTCTAAATTCCTTCTTGCATATTTCAAGGTTCTAAGTTTAGGAGTATGGATGGTCCTACATTATTAGCTCATACTTAGTTCAAGACTAATCCCTTCTTAATTGTATATTTGGTTTCAGGGAAATAGAGTGGAGGGGAGGAGTGAATTTTTTGTATAATCAGATTAAAAGTTGGATTTTGTTTGGTTGGCCAAAGAAAAAGTGGTAGAACGTTGGTTAGTTTCTTAATTTGATTTGACAAAATATTCACAATATTCATCTCTCCCTTCCCTAGTTCTTCCTTTTTCTTTTAAAGCAAACTTACCTTAAGTAATTTTACAGGTGTACTCCAATAGTACTTAAGGAAATCAAATCTTTAGTGCCAGACTTGTTAACATTTACTTACTGATAAATTCAATCTTAAAATTGGCTACAACTACTCTAATAAGTCCCAAATTAAGAATTTCAATGTCCTCCAAGCAGTCAAATACCCCAGACATTCCCCTGTTTCTCCTCCATTGCTATTATGGACAAAGATAAAAGATTCCTATTTTTCCTTTTTAATGGATCACCACCATCTTCGGATTTTCCTAGAAAATTTTCTTGTTTCTTCCTTATAATCCTCTCCCAAGAAATGTAGCCGTTGGTTGTTTCTTTCTTCTTCTATGCCCTTTCCCAAGATTGTCTCTATAAGGACAATCTTTCTTCAGTTCCTTATTCTTAATTCGTTTTAAAATTTCTACTTCTGTTATTCCATGATCTGTGCTATCTCATGCAGTTAGTATACTATACAATGAATTGTTGTTTCTTTTTCAAAATTGGTTTGTCGAATTTTGATCAATAATACAGGAACTTGCGAAAAAGATCAATCCCCAGAACAAGGTAAATCTGCCAAATTTGAAATTACCTTTGGTTTTCAAGTTTGATTAATTTGAAATTTATTTGACACGATCATGCTTGGTTATGAATTCTCTGACAGACAAGGAAAATTTTGGGTTTCCAGCATGCAAAAACAGTTAGGGCTGGCTGAGGAGGAGGTGAACAAAATGAAGGAGAGATTGATTGCAGCAGAAGAAGAAAGAGACAGAGCAATCAACATTCTCCGAGAGTTGAAGGTAGGAGGAGAGTTTTCGCCGAGCAAGTGGTCGACGGCAATGACCTCCGGGAAAGTAGCAGATGTCCATACGGAGCTCACCTTGGTGAAGGAATCGTTAACGAATGCAAGCAAGGAATTGAAGATCAAGGAGAAAACAATTGAGTCATTGAGGTCGGAACTCAGGCAGAGGAAAGAGCTGGAGTTGAAAATAGCGGAGAAAGATTGCTCCCTGAGGAAGTTGAGGGATGAACTGAATCACATCAAATCATCTGAGACCGACGCAATTAATCTGCTATCGGAAGGGATGAAGAGAATTCAAGAAATGGAAACGGAAATTGACAAAGGGAAGGAAGCAGAAGCGAAAGTGATGGATTCATTGGCTGCTCAGACGAAACAGTTTGAACAAACCAAGATGTCACTGGAAGAATCGAGGCTAGAAATCAAGTCTCTTCGTCAAAAGGTGAAGCGATTGGAAGGCTCCGTGGAGAAAAACGGCAGTGATTCACCGAGATCCGTCAGGGCTGATCAAGCTTTGAGAAAAACAGTGGAGAATCTGAAATCGGAGCTTCATTTTGCAAAAGAAAATCTGGCTTGTTCTCAAGAGGAAGAGAGGAAAACTTTCTTGAAGATGAAGAATCTGCTCGAAGAGAATAATAGGCTAAAAAATGAACTGAAATCAGCAACGGAAGCAGAGGAGACGAACAAGAAAGCCATGGATGATTTAGCTCTCGCTCTGCAAGAAGTAGCAATGCAATCCAATAAAGCAAAGGAGAGACTCTCCTCCACGGAAGAAGACCTGGAAGTAGCACAAGGGGAGATAGAACAGTTGAAGATGAAGCAGAAGAACACAAAGGAGAAATGCTCCGAAGCAAAGAAAGAAGCAGATAAATGGAAAAACACAGCAGAGAGATTGAGACAGGAAGCCGAAGAATCACTGATGGCATGGAATGGGAAAGAGACGGGCTTTGTCGGGTGTATTAAGAAAGCTGAGGAGGAGAGGAATGCTGCACAACAAGAAAATACTAGACTGATACAAGCTCTCAGGTCGGGTCAGAATCTGCTGATGAAAGCTAAAGAAGAGAATCAGAAACTCAGAGACATACTGAAACAGGCGATAAATGAGGCTAATGTGGCGAAAGAAGCAGCAGCGATTGCAAGGGAGGAAAACTACCAGCTCAAGGATGCTTTCGCTCAAAAGGATGCAGCTCTGAATTTTCTTTCTCAGGAGAGTGAAAATCTCAAGATCAATGAAGCTGCAGCGTTTAATAATATCAGGGAATTGAAGAGATTGTTGGCTGAAGCAACAATTAAGGATTGGAAAACAGAGGATAAAGAACGAGGGATGGTATCAAAGTCGCCGGATCCCATTGAGCAGTATGAAGATGCTGATGAAGAACATGTCCATCAAAAAGATGATAGAGAACAGGAGGAACACAAAGATGACAAGGAGCAGGCAAAGAACAAAGATGATAAAGAACAGGAGAAGCACAAGGATGATAAAAAAAAGGAGAGGCACAAAGATGATAAAGATAAAGAACAGGGGAAACATAAAGATGAAAAAGAACAGGTGAAGAAAGACAAGTTACAGAACTCCAATGGCAAGGAGCATAGGAGGAAATTGAGCAATACCATCAATTTCAACCTCAAGGATCTGAAAATCACACATAATAAACACAAGGAAGGAGAAGAGCAGGAGCACAAACCTGCTGGAAGCATAGACTGTGATGAAGATGACTCCTGTGATTGCTCTGACCCCCTCAAGGGCTCCATATTTGACACTGCTGAAACTCCTAAAGCTGAAACTACCGCAACACACCAAAGGAAGAAGTCGTCATCAGGATGCACATTCACAGAGGAAGGAGATCACATGAACTCGGAGGAATTTGATAATCTAGACGGTGCTCATTTTGATGAGACGGAGGGTGATAGAAGCACAAGAAAGAAAAGAGCATTGCTACGGAAATTTGGAGATCTTATAAGGGGAAGAAGTTTTCATAGAAGGGAGTTAGTTGAATAAACCACACCTCTGTGCACACGGTAACTATAATTGTTGTTGTTGTATAAAGCATACTTGATTTTGAATTTTTTTTCCTTAGATACAAGAAAGTTTAGGATGAAAGGAGGTTACCCCAGTCCAAAACCAGGAAATGCCACCATTCTCAGTAGGGACTTGCAATAGTACTACTAATTGTTATTTTTTACAAAAATTTGTTCATTGTGAAATATGGATTCAATTCTTCAGGACAAGGCACTGGAGTTTAAAATGTGCCTTTTTTTTCTGTCATAACCAAGTGTACGGGAAGAAGGGAGGCAAGGCCTGCTGCTAGACCCACTCCTTGCAAAACTTGGAGTAACTGACGACGCCAGCCACTACCAGCATCAACCAGCAAGCACAATTGAGTTGAGATTGATCCAGAGGCACAATGGCAAGATACCAAGATGAAGATTGTCATCTGAACCTATAAAGAGGACATGTCACCAAAATGATATACACTAGTACTTCTTAGGAGGAACTACAAACTACCATCGATAGCAGTCACCCAAAACAAAGAAAAAGAAAAAGAAAAAAACTCTCATGGATAGAACGGTGATCTTATTGTCATAGCGTAGTAGTGAATGTCACCTTATTTGCCAGTGAGGAAATAAGAAATTGGTGAGCATGATGTTTACAAAAACCTATTAATTAAAGGGAAGTATTGATTATTGGGAACAAATTTTATGATGAAAATTTTTAACAATCGATCATGTAGGTTCATATAAAACTTAGATGTAATCAATGATTACTATAAATTCATTTTACATTTTGTTCCTTAAAATTAATTTTAACTATCATTATTCATAAAAGAAATATAAAGACAAATGTCAAATTTTAAAAGTGACATTAATTAACACTTTAGGTTATGACAATATAACTGGGTGAGATTATTGTCACATCTTAAATAGTTCAATGTTACATCTTTTTAATATAATTGTCTATTATATCCTTATATTACACTTTTTTTCAAAATTTTATATTTTTTGTTTCTTAATAAATTAAAAAGTACAATAATTAATTAAGATAAAAAAATATAACATTAATAATTGAAAACGTGACGATAACATCAATCAATATAACCCCTCATCGAAGATAATGGGTTGTTAGGTTTTGTGCCTGCTCTTATTCCATACATTCTCACTTCTTTTGCATTCCCCACAATTTGTACTAACTAGACGAGTATTAGGAAATTTCTTCCCAAGGCTCTTCCAAAGTCCTGTGGAGCGTCAATCCGAACTTATTTCTCATCTTCTATTTTTCAATCTTGCTATCCCATGCATCCAACAAAAACTAACCTAAATAGGTCGAAGGCCTACTGAGAAATCCAAGCATGGGAACCCCACTTGGACATACAATTGCGAAGTTTTATGTCAAATCAGTGGGTTGATGGACATTGTATTCAAATAGATAAGATTACTGATTGGACAAAGTCTTTGTCTATCGGTTCTGTTTATATTCGGTCTTGGTCTTTCAGGTGACTAATCATTGTTCTTTGCTTCCAAGTTTTGAATTGGTATATACCAAGCATTTAGGTTCATGCCATCCCCTTTTTTATTTAATGGTTAAAAATAAAATACAGTTTTTAAACTTTTAATTTTAAAGAATTTTAATCCCTAAGTTATTTTTTTATGCTTTTTTCATCTATCAATTATAAAATTTTTTTTTTTTATTCTTCCGCTAGTTATGTCCATTAAATTTGTCTAGCTGATTTTTTTTTTTTAATTTACTTTAATGACCTAACTGTGTAATAAAAAAGTTTAAAAACTAAAGATATACAATAAATTTTAGTTCAAAAACAAAAAATGTGAATAAGACAAAAGTTTGGGACAAAAATACTAGCTATAGATTTAACAAACAAAACTAACAAAATGAATACAAAAGTATATTTTTCATAATTGAGAGAATAAAAAAATACAAAAACTAATTGAAGGACTAAAATTATTTAAAATTAAAAAATTAAAAACTAAATTCAACATTCAACCTATTAATTTCCTTCTCATAAATGACATCTTAAGTGGTTTAACTCTTTTTTTTTTCTTCCTAAAAAGTAGTATTAATACTTTTAAATGTCACAATATCCTCACCCGCTCAGCTAAATGTGTAACTTTGAGTTAAGAAGGTAGGTAGGGAGATGTGATCTGTCCTCAACTCAATAGTCAATACACCAACTTACAATGAAGAGATTCATCTAGAATAACATCTGCTATAAACATTTATACAAAATAATTGCTTGATGGGTATAGATCCTTCTACATATTTCTTTTTCTTTTAGGTAGTGTTAGGTCGGGGGATTGTTTCCCCTTAAAATTTTCTAAATATTGTATTTTTAAGGTTATTTATGTATGTTCATATATTAGTACTGCAATAGAGGAGGGTAAAAATGATATTTGAGCTTTTATTTTTTCTAACATAATTCTCAATATATAAAGTTTTCTTTTAAACTATTTTAAAATAAAAAAGTTTTTATATAACTTACCCTATATTAGATCGACTTAACAATTTTTCTTATTAACTTTTCCTATATTAATTTCTTATCAAATACAATAAAATTAATAACCCAACAAAATTTCAACAAAACTTCATTATAAAATTTAATAACTTTTTGTACAATACTTTTAAATTTTTCATAAAATACTTTTCTAATAAAGTAATCCCCTAACCAAACATGCCCTAAGTGGAGGGATCTTTCTTCTATGTATAATCTATATTCTAATAATACTTGCAATTGATATTTAACCACATGCAATTGTCACATTTATTCAAATTCCTAATAATAGTGTCTTCATGATAGAGATAAAAAAAAAAAAGAAAAAAGAAGTGACTGCCTTCTTGATAGAACTTTACTACCATTATGGACCACTTCCACTTGTTGGCATCGATGTCTCCATCTTTTGTTGGCCAGTCCTTGGTCCACCATATTTCTTTTGTGGCTAAACCCATTTTAAGACCTTGAACTCCTAATCAACGACCATATAAGCCTCCCAACTATTTTGGGAGCAAATAAGCCCTTCAACACTTCCTAGATAATAAGTAACCCCAAATTCATTTGAAGACGTACAGGGCAATGTATCTTGGAATCTTTCTTTTACAGAGTTTTGTGAATTATATTTATTCTAGAAAAGTTTGATTTTTTTGTGTGAAGAATGTTCTCCAATAGGTTACCAATTAGTAACTTGTTAAGAAAAATTCTCCACACAAGTTTAGAAGCACAAGGTACTTAGTCCATAGTGCTTGCAAAAACCTATAACCATTATCGCCATGCTCTCCCCAATGATGGGAACGCTTCTATGGTGCCCATGACGCCAAGGATGGTCTTCCTTCTTCTTCTTCTTTTTTTTTTTTTTCAAATTACTAGATAGTTTTGATTGATAAAAAGGTGAAAAGGTTATCTAACTAGCTATCTGGCTCTGAGGAAGGGTCACTACTCCATAAAATTGCTGAAATTTGAGATTACTTGCTCTGTTATTAAAGGATTATCTGCCCAAAAATAGTTGATGGGCTTAAATACTTCCTGCTTAAAAGCTTGGGGGCTTAAGAATGAGACCTTTTCCTTATATTTTTAATATTTTAATAAAAAATGAAGATCACAGAATATTTTTTAATGGGATGCATATGTTGAATTGGATTTGCAAGAAAAATTGTAGAATTACCTATTAAAAGACTTAGGATTTTTTTTAAAGTGTAATAAATATATTTTTTTATCATAAATTTATATTAAAAAATAAAAGTTAATTTTTAATTTATTAATTATTTAATTAAATTTATTTACTTAACAATGATATTAAAATTAATGTCAATTTGTATATTTTTATATAAACATTTATGAAGAAAAGGTATCTTTAACCTGTATCTTAAGAATAAAAGTATAAATAAAGATGTTAACTTTTAATGTTTCAATTAAAAAATACATTTACACATCAATATCGTTTTTCAAATAATTTTTAAATAAAAAAGTTAAAAGTTAG